CCCCCCCCCAACTTCCTCCTCCCTCCCCTCTGCACTTGTCTCTCCCTGGTTGAAAGTCTGTGTGCTACTGTACCGTGTGGTGATCTCCTGCTTTTCCCACCCCCCAGCCACTCCAGCGCTCTTCATCCAGGAATGCTGTCGAAGAAAGTCCGTTAGACAGAACTACTGGACTGGAGCTACCCAGAACAAGAGACGAAGAAAACCAGAAGGAAACAGTGAGCTCAGACAGAGTGGTTTCAGTGTATGACAGTCAAAATGAGAGTGACAGTTTACAGCGAGGAAAGAAAAGAGAGCTGAGCGGGCAAGAAAGGGTGGCAAGTAGGAGAACAGGAGGAAGAAAAAGCAAGAGAGAAAAGAAGTGAAGTAAAAACAAAAAGCAAAGGGAGGTACAGTAAAAACGCCTTGCAGCACTTTCTTTCTTTGTCGCTTCCCCTTTCGGCGAAGAAGCAAAGGAAGACTTTTTGAAAGGTTCAGGGGGAGGAGAAGCAGTGTGAGAGCCTCATCTCTGAGGAGCGAAGTCACGCTTCAGAAGAGTCAGCAGGAGAGGAAGACTGACTGTCTTCAGGGGCAGAGGGACACATGAAAGGGACTTTATAACTCTGCTACACAAACACAGGGGCAATTAGCTGGTCACCAGATAACACTGAGCAGATAGCACTGGCACAAAAAAAACTGCCCCAAGATAAAAAACCAAAAGCCAAGTGACTGAAGAAGAAGATCAGTGCAGAACACGACAGACATACTGAAAAACACACCAACAAAGACAAAAAGAGGGAGAAAAGCGGAAGAGCACTGGCTTCTCCAGTGTCCTCACATACCCCCATCTTCCACCCCCTGGTCTCCTATCCCCTCTCAGCCGAGATGATGATGTATTTCTGGGTGAGTACTGAGGCCCTGTGGGGGCTCCTGAACACTCAAAGGATGAGGGACCCACACACATGAAAGCTGAGGCATTCTGTACACTGATATGCAATGTGTGAGTGTGAGTTTTTCCATATTCATTCTTTATTTCAAATTAATCAAAAAGCTGTTATTAAGGATCCTTTAATTTTTGTAAAAAATAATCTTCATTCAGATTTCATTGAAGTGCAGCCTGTGGGAGACAAAGTGAGTAAAGTGGCAAGGCAGAAAGGTTTATATTCCCACTCACGCGGCCCTGTACTAATGATCCGGCATTTTTATTGCCGTTGATAAAGTACACCCCTGTTACAGTGATGCTTTCCCTATCTGCTGCTGTAGTAAGCAAGAGCATGTCTTGTTTAACGAGTGTGACCTTAGAGATTTTACTGCAGGTGATACAGCAGAAACTGCATTTATCCTTGGTAATGTGTGGTCATGTGTGTGAATGGGGTCTTTGGAATTTTAAAATGAACTTAAACACAGTGATATAGTCTTACAGGAGGAGCCTGACAGCTCCAAAGTGTCAGGTAAACAATTGTTTTCTGGTGACAGGGTGGTTTTTTCCCCTAAATGATTACAGCCAGCCAAGAGACTGGGGGAATTTTTCCCCCGTGTGTGACTGGCATTCAATCTTTCAATGAAGTGAGGATTACAGATACAAAGTTTCAAACATCATTAATGTATTTTCCACTGGCTGTCAACACAGCTGCTCTTAAGTTTAGTGCAGTCCTATATCTGATGTGATGCTGTTGTGTCTTTGCAGTGGAAAGTCTGTATGCAAGTGTAAATGAATGTTGCATAAGTTGTAGATTTGAAACTGCCAAAGTAGTTGTTAAGGAATTTATGCAATTTTTTTTTATCTTGTTTTACCAGTAGAGCAGTCTATCTTGCAGTGTATGTACACACTATAATACTCTAAATCATTTCATAAAGGCATGTAGCATTTAACTTTAATGTTCCAAAAAGAAGACAAATAATTGCAATATACAGCATACTGTACTGTGCATGGTCCTAAAGAAATGTTTTACACAGTAACAGAACAGAGATGTGGAATATAAAAACTACCTGTACAGCACATTGTTTCTTAGTGCCTAAACCTGACAGCGCAACACAGTCTTCCCTGCATTTTCCCAGCTAATCACAGTTTTCTCTATTTGTGTTCAATAACTTCTCAACATTAAGGGTGAGTACAACACAAGTTATAGAGCATTCTTTTACTTTGTCTAATCAGGTTGTTCACTTTATTTCTAAATATTGTGTATTTTTTCTGTTGTAAGGAGAGGGATTTAAAAATACTTTTTACAAAGCCTGTTCTTAAGGAAGACAGATTTCCTAAGACCATGTGGTAGCCAAGGTTTACTTTGCTTGAACCAAAAACTGGATTTGACTTTTAATGGAAAAGCTTTATTTGTAGCATTTGAACAAATATGTCATGAAAGCTGATATAAGCCATTTGACACTCCTAATGATCTAATATGCACTGCCATGTCTCATTTTGAACCAAGTTCTTAAAAACCGAAACTGTGAGATCATTAATTATCCCAAAGTATTTACTGATGTGACTTTAACCTGCCTTGTCCATGCACAAAATGCCATATACAAAGCTATTCTTGAAAACATTTATCAATATATTATCAATTAGAGTTGCAGAGTGATTTGTTATTTAGTGGGCCTAGATATTAAAGGATAAAAGGAATGAGACTAGAGTGCAATATCATTTGCAGGATACAGAACATTAATGGTACAATCTCTCATAATACAGGGTGGGCCATGGAAAAGTAGCCCAGAAAAGAAGCTCACCTCCAACACCAGTGCTATGCTCTCAAGTACTGGGCTACTTTTCCATGGCTCACCCTGTATAACCATGTTTAACCTTTATATATATATATATATATATATAATATCAAGGATATTAGAAAATATTTGACTAAAATAATTTGTGAATACTGTACTACTGTATATGTACATACACACTATATTGTTACATGTTACACTCATGAGATTAAAAGGGCAAACATGGTTTAAAACACCAAGATAACTAAGAACTTTTCACAGATTGATTTTTGGGTCACAGCAGCTCACATGCACCACAACAGAATTTATATTGTTACCCTGCCAGAAGTGTATCTGCATTTATTTCTCATTCCAAACAAATTCTAAGGATGTAGTGGGAAAACTTTGTCTAATTACTGCTACACATGATGAGTAAGACAAACCTCACATGTTTGTTTTGGGTTGTTGGGCACAATTCAGGCTTTTGTTGTGTGTTGCTGTGGGACTCAAGGTCCTATCAGATCTTTTAACCACAGTCTACCAAGTTCCAGTCTCTTTGATTTATTAACATTAATTTAGAAAACAGGCTAATAATAACTGTCAACTACACCAAACAAAAACACGGGCTGCACCTTTCCAATTTTGCCAGCACTAAATCCAAACAAGTAAATTAAAGAGATGTCACAGAGAGATATGAGGTGTAGAAAACTGTGATTAATTGCTTTTTCAGAGCAAGGAAACATCACATGACAGTTTATCAAAATAAACCCAAACTGTTAATTACATTTTAGCAAATAAAGCCTAGATTATTAGTAGGTCTCTCTAGTAGGTTTCTGTTTTAGTGAGAGGTTCATTGCCCTATCTTTCCAACTAAGATGGTCAGAAAATCTTTTCAGACATAAATATTTAACATTGCTGGTTTCAACTAACAGTTACAGTAACAGATTTTTATCAGTCTGACAGAGTTCACATTTTGAAATGCATGACTCGAGAACTTTTCAATATCCAGAGCCAAATGGGATCAGATCACATCCTGTATCCACACACCTGACTTCTCAGCACATTTTGGAGGTAAACGCATTGTCTCGCTTTTTTTTTCCTTAAAAAATGCTCAAGTCATCATAGAAAGTGATAAACACATAATTTTGCAGTACACATCTGTCATTTGTGAGGCTCTAAGCGTGCCTGACTTATATCCCCTTACCAGGGTTAAATATCGTGCAGATTAGCAGCGCCATCAGTCTTTGAGCTGTAGAGTATGTCTAGATGTTAGTGTGTGTTTCTGCAAGGCTTGTCACTGGAATTGGGCCTAGACAGGAGAATCAGCTGTGAATGTGCAATGTAGTAATGTTTTTACTGACATGCGGTGTCATGGAAACAGTGATACAGCATATACTAACCTTCACGTGAAAAAGCCCCTGGTACCATAGACATACACGAGGTTTCCAGCACCTTCTCCCTGCTGCGTGGTGCACAGGGATGCCTGGCAAGTCCAGTGTGTGTTTCCAAGCTATCACTGCTATGGTTTGACTGCTGAGTTTTGTTTAACAACAAACCTTAAGGCACCATCATTTTGTAAAATGGTAAATGGACATTTACACTGCTTTTCTATGCATTGCAGTGCACTCAAAGCACGTTTTGCCCATTCACCCATTAACACACCAGTGGCACTGTCACCGAGAGCAATGGGGGGTTAAGTGTCTTATTCACACACACTTTGACATGTGGACTGGAGAGCTAGGAATCAAATCACCAACCCTCTAGTTAGGAGACGACCTGCTCTACCTCCTGAGCCACAGCCGCCCCAGACACATATTGCACACATGTTGCATTGTGAATTAATGCAACTCAAAGTTTTAGAATTTAAAACAACACTGCATTATGGGAAGTAACTCTGAATGGAAATTCTCTTTTCCTCAGGCTTAGTTTGCTTGGTTTATTGTGAGACTCCTGTGTTCACTGTACAGTTATTGCTTTAAGAGTTAAAATTGTAAACACACAGTCATGAGAGGTTGAGGCTGCTAAAATTGTTCTGACTGCATAGCTTAAAAGATGCAAAAACCTGTCATTTGCGTACCCAGCCTCCTCCCTCCTAATCCACCCACACCACGCTGCCTTTAACTGGCTGTTGGCAAAAGTATATCTGCTTTTCTACAAATGGTGTTAATTTGCTCAAAGATCGGCTTCGCATTTTTCCACATCAGTGCTGTTGCCGGTCTGGTCTGAATTTCTGTAAATAATAAAGTAGGAATTTTTTTAACAAAACAAGAGAAAAGTTAAGTAAATAAATGAGGCAAGGATGAGTAAAAGGACAGAGGTGATGTAACTACGCTGTGGAGACCACCAGTCGATCACCATCTCCTCTGTCATGCTCATGCTTGTTGCCCTCCTCTTTTAGGTGTTCTGTCTCTCTTTGTCTTGTTTTCCTCTTATCGTCTCAGTGTCTCATCCTCTCTCCCGCTCTCAGTCCGTTGTGTTGTTGTACAGTAGTTAATGATGGGGAGTCTTTTGCTGGTGGCTGCCTGCAGATATGAAGCGAGCAGGGGGCTTTGATACCAAGGCAGGAGCCATTGCAGTTGACATCCGCTATTCCTCTTCATCACCGCTGCATTGTGACTCTCTCTCTCCCTCCTTCTTTGTGGAGAAACATTGTAAATAAGCACAGATACACAAACACAAGGAATTCACATGGACAAAAACATCATTAAGTTGTTGATAGCTATTGTATGCTAATGCCTGCACAGACACACAACTGCAGGTCCTGATTAGAAACAGTAAAAGACACACATCCTTATCAAAATTTAACAGACAAGATGGCAAGAGATCACTCTTAAAAGGATTAATATTTTACACTTTTGACTACTAGACTGAAAATGTATTGATTGTTTAAATATATGCAGACTAACATATTATGAGCTGGTTTTACTGCAGTGCTTCTGCATACACAGTTTTGAGGTTTAGTGAGCTTTTTGATGCTGCCCTGACAACAGTAAGAGAGTTAAAGTACTCCATCTGTCCCTTCGGTGGGAGGGATGTAGGAACGGTAACTGGATGGAAGAGAGGAAACAAAACAAGCATCCAGAAATAATAATCAGGCACACAGAAGGTGGAGATAGAAGGAAGGAGAAGTGAAAGAGGAAAGGACTGTGACAGAAAGCGAGCTGCTGGAGGGCAGGTATTCCTGTTGTCTGCTCCTGTGGGGACAT